AAACTGAAGGTTGCAAAGTCGTTACTTCTCATAAAATTAATCTACTACTCGTTGGACAAAAGTGAACACCAACCCGTTTTTACACGAAAAAGCATATTCAGTTAAGCTCTTAACCGTTCCTCGTTTTATGGACTTTTGCTCTCTCATTCGATTTTTTCTAGAAAAGTCCATCTTGAATATTCCGCGAAAAAAGGATATCGTTTGAGTAATAATTGCACAGAGTCGGCACATTTGCTAGGTGAATAAAAGAACTTTAAAGGCTATATTACGGTGGTTTTGGAAGAGCCAAGTATGCGTACTTTTCATTGCACCATAAACGCTGATAGCACACACAAAAATTAGAAAATCGGATTGCATATAACCTTTCTAATTAGAAAAAAAATACAAGTAATTGACATATAAATTAGTTTAGAATCTATCTTGGGTGAGAGAATGATGTAGTAGAATATTCAAAAATTTATCTTAAAACCTATGGAAGTTTTCAAGCACTCGCATTAACGTACGTTTTCACATTAATGAGACTGTCGTCTTGTTCAAAATTAACTTTTAAATTTTAGCTATTCTTAGGAATTTAGAAACACTTACGAACCTGCCTTCACCGGTCCCGATTTTTGGGGTATGAGAATTTGACGTTCCGTATCGTAAAGACTGGCGCAAAGTGGCGCCATAGCTAAATAAATCGCCTTCATTAGTAGATGCGGAAGTTCCATTAAAAGCTCCATTTTCATCATAGCTGTCTGCGGGCCAGATTGCAGTACCCCGTTGTGTTGCGACAAGTCGAGAGCAAATTTGTTGCAAAACGTCTCCCTGGATTTGTTCTCCCCGTAAAGCGGCTTCAAGTGTGTCCACTAAGTCAGTAGTAATACCGAGAAGGCTTTGATAATCATTTTGAATTTTAGAAAATCGTTGGTGTGCTTGAGATGCGCGTTTCTCTGCATCAACCAGTCTGTTCTAAATACAAAGTGAAAAAGATAAGTGGAGATAAACTCTCACTTATGACAAAAGTATAATTTAACTCGCGGCTGAAGTCTACAAAGGGGAAGTGACACAACGTACGTGCTGCAAGAGCGTGAAATGAAATTCCGCAAAGGACGCAGTACATTTATGAGGAAAAGCAGAAGATCTCAGAGTGATCGAATAATTATGAGCAATACATTCAGACGCCTCCAGTGGATGATCCGGTCCAAATCAGTTTTGTCTCAAACTTTCAACAAATCGCCTTCGTAGTACAATCTCTAGCTTACTCAACCACCATAGGAATATTCTTACAAATTGCGTGGTGCTGCATGAAGTATTTATACACGAAAATAAGAGGAAACTGATACTCGCAATTGTTATCATACATTCACTATTTTAAGGCTCTTTTACACAAAACTCGCAAGTGACTCAAAGGAAAAACACGTCAAATAACTCATTACTCGTCATTTCACAAAACACATGGATGCATGATTTTTCAGCATAGGCTGGTGCAAACGCAGAACGGGCTTCAGTATATTTCAGGATCACAAAAGCACCTGCAACTGTTTCAGTTGAACGCTCTTATGCATATCATCAGGCTCTTGAAGAAAAAGTATCTTCGGAAGAGGTTGCTCTTCGCCGTCTATTGTCTCCAGAAAGGCTGACAGTTTCTTTTTAAGGTCAGCTGCCCACTCGGCCCCAAAAAGTTCGCGGTACACTGGATGATTCTTGGGATTGACGACATAGGGAAACGCATAAAACGGAAGAAATTCCGAGATCTGACTCAAAAGTTCGCCTTTCGTCTCTAAAAAAATCCGGAATTCATTCAGCCGCTGCTTTCGTTTTTCCTTTAAGAGGTGAAAGTAAGTAAAGGGCTACCTCAGTATCAAAGTCCCAGTTCTTTGCTATAAAATAAAGCGACAGATAAAACTCCAGCGGTCTGACTGTCGCTTGCTGAACAGAATCCGTAACACAGTATCCTTCCCAGACAGCCTTAAAGGAGTCACTATCGCCGTTTTGAAAGCTGCTTAGAAGGCGCATCTTTCACAAAGGTAAGCAGGGAAGGCTACATTACCCGCCAGTCGTCGTTAACACCAAACCTATCTTTAGCCATTGTATTCCATTCTTCTTCGAGTGCATTTTTTGACTTTTTCATGCCATAATACTCGAAAAACTTTACAAATTAAATTGAAAAACTTTCCTACCTCCGTTAAGTAGTCATGGATGCTGTTGAATTTTATTTGGTTGAAGTCGCGATCCATCAGCAAATGTTCACGCAAACAACACGAAATGACCTTTAGCTTGTCATCAATTAGGCTAACAAAATCTCTCAAAGCCAATAAACAATAGGTCCAACAGAGCTGATTGTGTCATGGAAACGATAATAGGTCGTTTGGAAGGAGGATGATGGCCCAATGCACAATTGGAGGAATCGTCAAACGAAGTAAACTGCGTCTTCTTAATTGTTTTTTAATTCATTTTCTCACTATTTTTATTTCCGCATCTCGGTGTAATGCACTCGGATCAAAAGACCGATTGATGAAGTGTGAGCTTTCCACTGGAATTCACTATACCTCCTGATGATTTCTGCATATGCCCTGCGACTACTATAATGTATAAACATTTATGCATTCGAAGTAGGGTGTTCAGGGCAATAACTGCAAATATGTGAACAAAGCTTTGATAAATAGACAAATCTGAACTGATCGCCAGAGAGAAATAGCAAAATTAGCAGGTTGGCAAATGTAAGAGACCCGGATCGATAATCCGAGAAACAAGAACCGCTCCCCGGATCAAGGGAATTGTATTGCTGAGGTTCCGGAGAGTTTGGAGGGTACTCCATTATCAAAGCGTTTAGTGCAAAATCGACCAGAATTTCGAATAAACGGCCGAATCGGTTGGTCACGGGCTGATTTATTTTTTTTCTTCTTTCGCTGCCTTGATCCTCTGACCGTCGTTTGAGAATGTTGGTAGCCTGCTGTGCTGTGTTTCGTCACCTCAGTTGGGTCAGTTGAGTTTTTGCCTCCTTTTGGAGATAATTAGCCTACAAAATCTTACTTCGCTTCATACGTCATGATCAGGACAAAACGGTCACATGGAGCTCAAGAATACCGAGCAAACACGGCCTGGCGACTAATACACCCAATGGGACGCGCACTCCGCCCATTCTAATTGAGGTGATGACACACAACACAGGAGGCTACCAACATTCGCTAACGACGGTTAGAGG